GTATCCATCAGTATCTATCAGTATCCATCAGTATCTATCAGTATCCATCAGTATCTATCAGTATCCATCAGTATCTATCAGTATCCATCAGTATCCATCAGTATCCATCAGTATCCATGATAATCCATGATAATATCAGTGGTTTTACCATTGGATCATGCGCAGAGTATATTTCAGCCAAGAAGCCACGCGCGCGAATAAAAACCAGCTCGGCGTACGAAAAGTTATCCAGACAAGGTATCTTATCCGTGCAAGTAACTGATGCGGCCTGAGCAACAGAGAATGYCAAAAATGGCATGAGTATTGGCACCAAACGTGCCATTTTTTCCAATATCATAAGAATATCAACAAGGCACCAGTCGTTAACATTTTGTTCGTACTTGTTGGGAAAGTGGAGCATAGTTTTCAATAATGGAGTAGCCTTAACGAAGAGCCATTGAATTATATTTTTTGGTGACGTCTGAAGTATATGAAATATCTGTTGTAGCAAATTAATACGAGTTTGGGAGTTTCCGCCTCGTTCCCAGTCTCTTCCTCAATTCCAGAAAGGCGAATTGATGTCATATGAATGATATCAACCACCCTRTCTTGCACAAGGACTATTGGTATGAGACTGTGATGACCCCACCCATTCTCACTTCTCATTCGTCTGCTATAATCTGTAGATCTCGAAAACCCGTCGGATGGATCATAGTTGAACTATGGATGGATGGATGACTGAATGGATGGATGGATGGATAGATTGGGATGCCGAATGGAAGAAAAATGCATTAATAAAAATGCTACATGAACTCTGTCCATAAGACTCTTTGACTCATCATTGTACCGGGTGCATGTACGGAAATCACAAACACCACTATAATCATACTCCTCCAGTTATTAGCATTTTATTTTATCGTATCCTATAAGTGATCGATATTACACGTGCTTCTCTATTCAATCCGTCCGACAGCAGATAACGACCCATCACAAGAAAAGTAATTTTTATTGTTCATGAAAACTAAAACATTCCAGAAATATTCATTTGTTTAATGATTAGTTCCGGTGCTCCATTCAAGCGTAAAATACTACACAATACCCCCTCCCACTCATGACTCATCATCCAAAAAACACCAGCTTTATCGTCATTAATTCATCATTTACAACTGACTGAAGAGAAACAGCTTCATTCAAGCGAGAGAGGGTATCTTGACAGTTACAGGGAGAAAGAGAGAGATGAATCAAGGACAGAACGGCTCTGAGTACAGAGGACTTGAGAATAACCTTCACAAGAGGCACTTTGGTTTGGTAGTGGTTGAGGTTTTGGGCCTGCTGACCGTCAATGTCTTCGCCTTGCTCGGGAATGTTTTGATATGTGCAGCCGTGTATCGTAAGCCTTCACTCAGAACGATAACTAACATGTTTATCGTGACTTTAGCAATTTCTGACATTATAATGGCTGTTACTGCAATGCCTTTAAGTATAGGAGCTCTGATAACTAACGTTTGGCCTTTTGGACACGTCGCTTGTCAAATTCAAGGATTCTTGATACACGTTCTAGTGTTTCAGTCCGTACAGGTCATCACACTGACGGCTATCAACAGAAATCTTTATATAGTGAGGCCGTCCTTCTATAAGAAGATTTTTACAAAGAAGACGACATTATTCATGATAATTGGAGTTATTATTATTTCTACTGCTGTCATGGCTGCATTGATATTTTCCTTGACGACTTACTTTGCGTTTCATCCTGGCAAAGTCATTTGTGTTGTTACGTTTTATTCTCTCTCTCAAAGCAGGTTTTTTACTATAATATTCTCTCTAGTCTTCATAGTAATTCCTTTTCTCGTAATATCATTCTGCTATGCACGAGTCATGCAGAGAATACGAACACACAAGCAAGAATTCAAAGCAACAAGAGGAATCCTAGACTTCAACTCAAGACTTGCCCGAGAAGAAGACAAACTGTCGAAAATTGTTCTAGCAATAATTTTAGGATTCGCAGCGTGTTGGATTCCCTGTGTCGCGATAGATATTGCTGACACTACACGAGATGGTTGGCTACCGAGGCAAATATATCTACTTTATACGTTCTTCGGCTTTGCTTCGTGTGCTATCAATCCGATTCTTTACGGATGTATGAACAAACAAGTTCGTAACGAAATTATGTGTATTCTGAAGTTCTGGAGAAAGTGAAATTCAATGGCACTACTGTGAATACTCTCAGCTACGAAACTTTCTTTTTCCCTGATATAAAAATAAAACCGTTCGAGATATTTGCATTGGTATTATATTCTAAAAAATTAAATTGGAAGGTTCTAATATATTTTCTGCGGCTACAATTAGAGGCAGTCGGTTGTCCTGATATGAAGACAATACTTTATTAAATCTCTTGGTTTTTTGGTGTCGATAATTTTGAAACTTAAATTAGAAATGCAATGATAACATAATCATGTCACTACAGGAGAAACACCAGAAACTGAAAATTAAAAAAAGCATGGTCTGACTTCAGCTGATTTGGAAGATTATTATACTTATTGCTATTTTTATTTGTTGAAATTAAAAACGTGCATGTATTTTTTCAAAGCAGTGCTTAAAATTTAATATGAATAGAACCATTTCACTATAGAGTGCTAATTCCATGTTTTGTATATGATTATTTAGGTGAATTGGTGATACGAAAATTGGAAACCACATGCGACATACTCTTATGAAGAAGACCTGGTTAGGATATTTAATTAAATGATTTGTCTGCAAGGGTAGGTTCGGGGTTATTTCATAGATAAACTGATGATTTTCAGTTGAGAAAATAATGCTAAAGTGAGTACCAAAGTTAGAAGAATATATTTCGTAGCCTCTAGCTTTCGAATCAGCAGTTTTGTTGGTGAAATCTAGAATTGTCCAGTAAATGTGTCGATTGATTTGTTTAATCAATATCGATTTACTTTAGTGCAAACTGCGGCGTTTGAAGAAAAAAGTCAATCGTAAATATTTATATAATACTCTTATAAATATTTGAAGACCTCAAAACTGAAAAATAAGGCTTCTTTCTTTTTTCCTCTCGTTTAAGTGTTCGAATCAAAAAATTCGTTGATCAATGATCTCGGGCAAAGAGTATTGCTCCATCAAAAAAATGTATTTGTCTAGCATTTTTCATTTCCTTTTCATTTCCAAAAATTAATGAGGATTTCCCGAAGCGATGCACTTCGGTCTGCTAAACGAGCTGTGGAAGGCTTTCTACATTACTAAACTGAATTGTTATCTGACATAAGTAAAACGGACTCTCCATTCGACAATTCTATCTCTCTCCTCTGTCTCTCACTTTCTCTCTGGTTCTCATCATGTCCTTTATCCATGTCGTCACTCTTATTTATTCATATTTACAATGAATATTTCATAGACATGCAATGAAAATCGATGGCTTTCAGATTGGCTATTAGTGTGATATCGATCTTAGACAAATTTCAGCTGTTCACAAATTATTTCCTCCCTTTGACTTTCAAGAATTTGGTAGCGCAGTGATAAATTTCGAAATTCATCTCCTTTCAACTCTGAGTTCAAAGTTTCTCATATAATTTGTGATTCCAAATAGCTTTAGAAGAATTTTTTTTCCAGCTTTTGGGGAAAGTATCAGGAAAAACTTCAAGATGGGAACAAGACGTGACTGAATTAAAGATTCGGTCTGCGCTCATTTCCAGCGTCACAATAGAGGGACGGCGGTACTAAAATTACAAAAATGTAGGTGGTTTTCATATTTGGAAATTCCTTTCAATTTGAGACCATTGAGACCATCTTGATTCATTCAAACGGATATTTTTTCCCCTACTTTGAATGTCGGATGCGGATTGTCTGTACGTGAATATTCAGACAAACAGGATGATTTGAGTATAGTAAACTAGTTAATGAATTAAATAAAAAGATCGTTTATTTTGATATATGCCGGCAGTGGATCGAAGGAAGTAAAGACAAATAATGCCGGACTTTGTTTACATTATTTATGTTTGGGATTGGTTGTTTGGGCTGTTTTTGTAAAACGAAGCTGTTCTCTGAATAAAAATAAATGCATGAAGAAGTGTTTCGTGTAGGTTAGTCGACGTCATTGACATTTTTTACCATATCTAAAAGTAATAGTTCCTAGTGAATATAATGGGATTAACATTAAGTAATGAATATTTATCAAGTGTTAATTATGTATAATGCACCGAAATTGAAATATAGTGTATTAACCCTTTCCGAGGTTGAGTAAAAAACTGGGTCGAGTTGGCATTGCAGTGCATTGTGGGTATGATTTAGAGGACAAGATAGCCGACGCCATTTTGGAAGTATGTCCCATAAGGCGGCCCAAACATTTAATGCTGTGAGTTCGCTTTGATCATCCCAGATGTTGCTTCATGGTTCTATCTGTGAGTTCGCCCGTGTCCTGCCTTCGAGCAGCCCAGATGTTGTTTCAGGGTTTGATCTGTGAGTTAGCCATGCCCTGACTTAGAGCAGCCCAGAGGTTGTTTCAGGGTTTGATCTGTGAGTTAGCCATGCCCTGACTTAGAGCAGCCCAGAGGTTGTTTCAGGGTTTGATCTGTGAGTTAGCCATGCCCAGACTTAAAGCAGCCCAGATGTTGTTTCAGGGTTTGATGAAATTGAGAGAATTTTCAAAAAGGTACGTATATTAAACCTACTCATTCCTGACAATGGAGCTCAATTTCTAGAATTCCTTTCCTTTGAAAACACCCGAGGATATTTGAAATATAATGCCACCTAATGAATAATAACATCAAGTACTACAAATGTTTATATACCTCGCCCTGCGGGGAAAAGTACGACATTCTTTTCATTTCGTTTTTGTGATAGAATATATGATGTCACCCGGAACTTAGCACGCGAACCCTCCCACGCAGACTGACCGCCTCTCTGAAGTAATTATTTATCGTGACATTTATTAGTTAGTCTTGTTTTCTTCCACTACATTCTATATTAACGAACATACAACACTCAACTCACATGTTGATTTTTACCGGAGGGAGGAAAAACCAAAGAACCTGGAGAAAAACCTTCGGATCCGGCCAGGAAGTCAGAGAACAACACTTCAAACAAACTCAACTCATAAATGATCTAGTCTGGGCAAATTACTTTATGATTACGTTATAAACGTACGTAAAACCAGTACAAACTCCAAGTAAATGCGAGATCATTTTTTACACGAGTGAGCGTGCAGTTACCGTGGGCGTATAATCCGAGGGCTTATAAAAGGGAGGAAAACCCGTCTCAAATCTGGGATGCTAAGGTATTTGTAAAGCTCAAGGCAACATTTACACACCTTGAAAGTTGAGGAAAATTGACCCGCCTTTCGATAAGTGTGTTTATACAGATTATCGCCAGGTGTGCAGACAAAAAGGGTAAGATATCTGAGGTCGGCCACAAGGGTAATGATTGCTTAGTCTATCGAGCCCGTGCTCATGGCTAAAAGCGGATCGAATTAGAATTTAGAAACTGGTTTTGGCAGAGGGCGTCGGGGGGATTCAACCCTCGACGCACAGGAGAGAACCTTACCAAACTACTACTCACTAATGGTTGTTGGTCTGAGGATCGCCCCAACGACCGCAGCGTTTATACGGTGCATTAGCAGCGCTAGCGCACACCACGTATCACCATGCCGAATAAAAGAAGTTTGACATCATGTTCAGTTGAACTTCTATTAAGCRACCAGCCTCTATTTAAGTATGTAAAACAAAGTATGGAAAACTGTGCTGCAAAGTAAGAGAAAGGGATTTCTAGTGATTGTTTTCTTTTTTAATTTGGATATACAAAATTGCAAATACAAATGCAATTTTAAATGACATTTAGCCTCGTTTTGATGTTATTATCACCAGTTTCTCACCCATCTTCCAGACATAAGAATATAGTGCTGTGGTGCAGATCGGAAGGAAAAGGCTGTAAACACTGTATTTAGCAAAAATATTATAGGGACTGCAATGGTTCAGTCTTGACTAAGGACATTTGCGACATGCAGGATGAAAGCAGTAGCGTAGCGAAAATAGCAGAGATGGAGTGGCGAACACACGCGTTTTGGCACTAAAACCGTCCCGCTAAATCCATAGGTAGCCTAACAAATTAGGAAAAAAAGGAAAATTTACGATTTTTAGTCAATAGGTCACCCCCCTCTCCCCTCCCATCACCACCTCCCCCCGCTTCGGCTGGAACAGTAGTACGTTACACAAAGGTCCACAAAGCAATTGCACGCACAATTTCTGATTTCAGCTATTTGCCTTGTATATCAAGACCTTTGGCCATGAATTTGAAAACGATTCGCAACGCTACACCCTGTCTACATTTTCAAGTCTGATCCTCTTCTTTTCCGGAAGGGAAGGATAAAATTAAAGTACCCCGTTATCACAAGAGGCTCTTCGAAACCGTCGGTACGTGGCTGACCTATACGAAAGAAAAGTCAACTCCCATTGCTTTAAATACAGCAAGTGTTTGTTTTCATTGCCTCTAGAGGTATTTGCGTATGGTAAGTAACACCGTCATGCAACCCTTGGTCCTTTCAAGTCGACATTCAGCATCTAGGTACCACTTCTATTGTTCTCTCGTGGCTGTGTCGACTCCATCAACACTATGGACCAACTACAGGGGATTGACAAGCTCTAGRAGATTCATTAAAATAGTCATTTGCCCGGCTCGCATCAACATCAACAAGCTGTCTATTGTAAAGCAAAAGAATTGAACAGTCCTGGACGAACGTAGCTTGTATATTTACACGCTTATCATGCGAGCACAGTGTGACAAGTCGAGGGTTGAACAAGTAAGGAATAAAGTTGCAAAACTCAAGAGGAATTTGCTAATCGCCGAGAACAAGCTCAGAGAAGCTCGAGAAAGTTTGTTAGCTAGCTCAGATGAAAGGTTAAAGAAAACCCTTGGTTTTCGATGGAGATACGAACGCCAGGTTAAAAGCCGATCTTTGGTTACAGAAGTCATTCCTGTGTTAGCTCCGCCATGCAGGAATATTGCTGTGCAGAGATTCCATGACCGCTTGGGATTTCGAAACATAGCATACGCCAGCACGAAGCCTAGTGCTGGAGACAGATGCTCAATGCACCACTCAGTGGTCACAGATCGTTGTAAGACCATCGTTAAAAAAGAATTATCGAATTCATCTGAGCCTAGCAATAAACCGCGAAGCATCGCGAATAGTGGTTATCACTTACGACGAATGACCTCAAAGGTCTGTGCAGCCCGAAACAAATCAAGTAACTTCCAGATCAAGTTTAAAACCCTGCGTGAAAGATTACACTACTTGGAAGCAAAGATCTTAAAAACAAAATCTAGAGTAGAAATTGCTGACAGTTTGATCAAAGTGTTGAAGGAAAGGCTGAGCTTTCTTGGCGAGCGCGTCAAAGCTCACGAGGTGAATAGGAGATACCGACGTGAATCAATGCAGAAGATTTCTGATCTGGAAAATCGAATCACGATAGCTCTAAACAAGGCCATAGAGGTGGAGAATCTTGAAGGAGTCTTAGAAACTAGGGTGCTGGAGATTGAAGATAGTATTGAGGTTTATAACATGAAAATCCAAAGAGCACAGGATGTTTTGCATCGACTGAACCAGGGGAAAATACCAGCGAATACCTGCACTGTGACAATGGTATTCAGAAGGATTAGTTTATCAAGCCAATTTAGTTTCAAGCCGCCGTTGCCTGTGCTGCTACAAGCAACCTATTGTGAGGAATCAGATTAATTCATTCAAGTCAAGCGATCAGCAATATTTTTAATATCTCAAGCTTTTTGCGCATTTGACAATACACATGGTTGAGTGTAGCACATATGAAGCCGAACATTAAATAAGTGTATAGTATGTACGTATACGTAGAACGTTAAATTTGTAACTTTTGACTAAAACTTCTGAGCAGTAAAATTAATACAACGTATGGCATAGTTGGGATCACTTTGCGAGACTAGTTTCCTGGAATGACATATAGTGAGGAAATTACGTCCTTGCCTCAACTAAAGCCTAAGGTAATGTACGTTATTCGAAGCTTGGGAGATGGTGCTTTAGACATTTGCATTAGTTGCTCGTTATAAATAAATTCCTGGTCAAGCTGAAATATTTTATCAATTGGTGATGATTAGCCAAGTATTTGCTTACACCTGTGAGCTGCTGCATTGACTGCATGCATGAACGTTAAGTTATTTACTCATTCATATATATTTTTTAAAAAGGGCTAGAATCCTCTCTTCGCCACACACGCGGTACGCCTTCACAACGGCCGTTGTGAAAACTGCTGTTGCTAGTAGGAGTCTGCTAGTAGCAATTCCAAGGCTTCTTTCTCTCACACCAACGGAAGTAATTAATTTTTGTTTCTTTTTCTTACAATATCCTGAATATGGCAATTCGCTTCTTATCCAACCCGATTATACCGACCAGGCCCACGATGGGGAACTCCCAAACACAGGAAGRAGATGGGTGGGGTGGGGAACTTGTGGAATTTGTTTTTAAATGTCGAAAGTCAAATAATCCGGCTAAGAGATTACTTATTATAGGAATGTTGTATTTTTTAAATACTCTAAAATGACAGTTGAATCACGAGTATTAAACCCACTCCCTAAAAAAAACATCATTTCATCCAAAATGTTTATGTTACCGTCAAGTGACAACCCCCGTAGCTGGTGTAATTTAAGCCATAAAGGCGTTCGGCTACGTCTATCCAGCCGTCCCGTTGACCCGCACTAGAGCACCCCGGCCCTTTGTCCCTCATATACCATTTGAAAAGTATCATTTTATAAAGAATCGCGTCTCGGTAAATATTCCCCAATACTCACTTCGACTTCGGCGAATAAAAATGAGTACACCCTGATTCCATTGTTTTCTCAGTTAATTTGTGTCTATTTGACCATTACACGTTGAATAGTGCTTTTTATTTCACGCGTTGATGAAAATCACTCTATCTTTTATAGCAGTAGAGAAGGTCGATCCTCTATTGCTGGTTTGCAATCATTCCCAAAAGAACGAAATAACAAAAGACACGTCAGCCATGTTGGATGATATAACAAAAAAAAAAAAAAAAAAAAAAAAAAAAAAAAAAAAACAAAAACAATGACGAAGCTTTTGGTTAAATTCATCCAACATGGCGGCTGTGAAAACCATCAATAGATATTGCGAGCGATCCATAAGAAATGCATAATACCAGAACTGAATGTCTTGGAATACGATGCCTATTGACCCGTGTGTACTTGTAACCGACACCAATCGATAAATAAAGATAGAACCTTTACTGCGTAATATTTCATTGTGATGTAATCTGATTAATGACCCGAAGACACCGGACATTAAGTAGATTGCCATGTCTCAAAATATACAGGGAGCCCAAACTAATTACTGGGCCGTTCTTGGCTGAAAGCATCGAGATGTAATTTTGCTGATTTTTGCAGTGGCGGATCCAGGGGGGGGGGGGGGGGGGGGGGGGGTCGAAGGGGTCCATGGAACCCCCTTTGAAGGTTTGATCTTTTAGGTAATAGAAATATGACTTATATGAATTTTAATGTTGAACACGAAATGATAAATATTTGCTGTTATAATGTTTAATTTACCTTTAAGTTTCGTTCCGCCACTGTTTTGTGCATTTTATATGACGTTTGACTGTTCTATTTTAGTCGCAGGTGTCGAATACTTGACTAAACCTTTTAGTCAGGCTGTCAAACATATCAAAATTACGCATATTTTGCTGCAAGTGTATTTGTGAGCTGGGACTGGGAAATGCTAGCCCCTTTGTGTAGACATGCAGTGGTCGCAGTACTGATACAGCCCTACTTCAAAAACCGTTTGGCGATGGTCATCCGACATGGAAATGGTTCCGTCGACTACAAAGAACATTGAATCTGTCTCAACACTAAGGTCCATGGTCTTGACGAGAATAAGAAGCAGAAACACAAGTTATTCCAGCTATAGTTGGATCTTGGAACGACCTATCTCCTATCGCTTTTCGCTTATTACCTATTGATGGTTTCACCCATTCCCAAGAGAATTAAATAACAAAAGACATGGCGGCCATGTTGGAGGATATAACAAAAGAATTCATTGACAATTCTTTTGTTTAAGTCCTCAAACATGGCCGACGTGAAAACCATCAATTGTTTATACCCTTTGGCGATAACAACCTTTTTCGAAATAGCTGTATACTGAAAGGAATTATGGTCACACTATCTAGAAAGAAAATACGGAGAGTCGAGAATTGTAAATTCTTAGCCTACTGTAGTAGAGGGGCACTCGTGAAGTCTATTATGGATAGCGAGGAATAAATTGATTGCGGATTGAAAACAAGTGGAGTAAAGAATCTGGTCAGCAAACTATTCCCAGTGAACATTTCAATTTGAGGGCCACAAGTTTATTAGCGGTGCTATTACGTGCTACCCTCGTAAAATAAAGTCTTTATTATTATTATTATCATTATCATTATTATTATTATTAAGAAAAAGAAAAAGAAAAAAAACAAAAACGATTCAAATGTGCCATACCCCCGAGACATCCGCAGAGCTGAGGCGGCGTATGGACTTCGGACCTGACGGCGATTAAATCCTTCTGCCCTTGGGTGTACGAATTACGCAAGAAAATGTTCTAGCCGAAGCATCAGGGGAGAGACCAGCCGGCCCCCAGAACATATCGGCTGATCCCTTGCATCTCTGCCACGCACGGAATCGGTTGAAATAAYAATGTTAAAAAAGCTAGTCTATTCAGCGCATCGTTTTCACGGCTATTGTTATGCTGATTCACCTAGAACAGTGCTCCAGTGGAAAAAAAACTTGGGCTTCGATGACACTGAGTCAAGTCCGTTTGGGCGAAGTTAGTACCAGGATGGGTTACCTGAAACTAATACCTACTTAACTTGTTTTTGCAAGATTTTTTTTTTGTAACTTTCAGTCGATTTAAAATTCGTTTTCATTGAGAAAACGTCAAAAATCAAAAAAATACCTGGCATTTAGTCCATGGTGGCGGAAAAAATCCTTAAACTGGCTAAATTAGAAAAATAGCCACACAGAGCGAAAGAAGTGCTATTTCTCAATGATCAGGTAAAATTTCGAGGCTTTATCTCACGTTTCAATGATTTTATTGACATTTTTGAAGAATGATCCCATACATTTCCTTATAACATGACATGACACCACAGAAACCAAGCTTGGGCTACCTGACCGAATTCTACCTATATATATTTGCTCAAGCAGTGACAGGGAAAAAAATCGGGTTCTATCGCGTGACATAACATGCGTGATGCAAAGAGAGACGTGTACATTGAGTCGGAACAGTAGTGCCCTGTTAGGACTTGTTGATTGTACATTCAAACAGCCATGGCGCTCTCACCGTCAGAAATCCTTCTAGAAATCTATAACAAGCTGAAAGAGTTTGCGATTAAAGGCGAGACACCAGTCAAGAGCCTCGTGCTTTCCCTCTTCGTCTACGCAGTCAAGCAGTTCTTCAAAGAGAACATTTATTCATGTCCTGTTCAGAATTACCTTGTTTATGGTAATCTATTCATCTATGGACCTGCAGTCGTACTGTTTTGCCTCTCGCTTCTCATTTCGGAGTCATTTTGGCGATTCACTACTGGAGGTTGTTGTTGTAGAAGGGTAATTTGGTCGAAGTCACGCAAGAGTATCTATTTAGCCATATTACCTCCATTCGTGTGGCTTATTCTCGCATTCGCTGATGCCCACTTCTATGTTTGTGCACAACTTGGTCCATTTGAGTCGGCAAAGGCTGCTGCTAACAGTTCTTCTGCACTAGAGAAAGCGAAGTTAAAGTTCTCTAACGCTCGTACTCATTCTCAGATCATCTCCTGGGTTTTGCTTCTGTCACTGATGGTTATAGCTACGATTGTTTTGACTGTTGATCGGTGTTGCTCGAAGTTTGGCTCGAAGATCATTCGACAAGACGAGTTTGATGAGATCGAAGCGAATTATGCCATGAAGTTGTACAACGAGAGAATCAAACCACTGGCTGAAGAACGAGCAAAGACATCGGTGGACCAACTTTTCCAGGCTTACAAGGACGAGAAACCTGGTGAAATATGTGAAATTGCAACTGCAGCAGAAGATTATCTCCTGACAGTCTACCCTAAACACGCTAGTGTTGGGAGCTGTGTCTCTCCTCCCTCTACTGATCATAGAAGCTCGAAATTCAAGGAATTGTTTAAGAAAAGAGGCAAGAATGTGGAAGATGATGAGGTAGGGTTGACAGAAAGTGGCCCACAGCAACATTACACTTCGATTAACTAGCTTTGTTTCTGGCAACGAGAATTGAAGCTTTTGCTTTTGGCGTAATGTTTCCCTATTCTCCTTGTCAATCGAATTAGTATTATTCCTTTATTTTTTGCTAAAGCTTAAGATATACCTTATATGGACAATTCTTATTCGTAAGAGATTGAAAGATGGGAAAACATTTGGCTCATAACATTGTATTATTGAAGAAGGCCCATTGATAACTTTAATATGGGATGATTTTCATCAGTACAAACAAACAAACAAACAAACAAACAAACAATCGTATGAAACCAAGTTAAGGTTAAACCAAGTTAAAAATTGAAACAAAAAAAGAACGAATAGAAAGACATTCCAAACTTTAGATGCACACAATAGCGAAAATAAACGTTCCCTCGTTGTTATGACAATATTATCAACTTACAAAACATTATTGAAATTTTGAAGTAGACTTCATACGATTATAGGCCATTGAATATGGAAAGAAAGATTGATAGATAGAAAATTTTAAAAAATAGGTTGCGTTTCTGAATATTAGAACGCTTTTGAAATTTATTTTATCTATCCAAATTGATGACTAATTGATTTGGACAGTTTGATGTTAGTATATGTAATAGGACTCCATGCAGGAAAATTCCGAGGACTGACAAAATTGGATGAGGCCGTAGACCGAGTTCCATTTGGCAGTCAGAGGAATTTTTCGAGTCTAATTATTTCTTGATTGGGGAGCATGAAATCCCATTACCTATTAATTATATAGCTGCCCAATTAATCCCATATCAACAAGACCTGTCCAATTAAGAAAATAATTGGACAGTTACCTATATGGGATTAATGAGAAGCTGTATGTATGATTAAATAAGTAATAAGAATGACCAGGAAAAAAATGATATAAAAAGCTAAACAAGTACATTTCGTTTGTGTGACAGCGAGCATGGTAAGCCAGTTTGTGTGCTCAGTAGAGCCGTACCCGGCGTAGATTATACCATTGCCGTAACCATGCTTTGTGATTGATTGAATTACGGGAAACCAATCAGGGAAGTCATTGCCCTGTTTAACACAACATGTCGTATTATGTACGTGCTGTAATGTTACCCACTCATACGATTACCATTCTCAGTATGGGAAGCCATTTCAATGTTACAGAACGTCGTACCATGTACATGCTGTAAATTCAGTACCGTATGTTTCCAACTCATGCGATATGCATTCTTATGGGAAGCCATTTCAATACTACGGCATATCGTATCGTGTACGTGCTGTTGAAGTCCGTATGTTTTTTAAGTCTTACGATAACCATTCATATCGGAAGCCATTTCATTGCTACGTTATGTCGTACCGTGAACGCCTCTAAGCCGGTCAGTACAGTATGTTTCCCACTTATATGACGATAATCCGATTCTTATGGGAATCCATTTCAATGCTACGGCATATCGTACCGTGTACGTGCTGTTGAAGTCCGTATGTTCCTAGTCATACGATAACCATTCTTATGAGAAGCCATTTCAATGTTGCGGCATGTCGTACCGTGTACGTACTGTAGGTCAGTACCGTATGTTTCCTACTCATACGATAACCATTCTTATGAGAAGCCATTTCAATGTTGCGGCATGTCGTACCGTGTACGTACTGTAGGTCAGTACCGTATGTTTCCTACTCATACGATCATAACCATTCTTATGGGAAGCCATTTCAATGCTGCGGCATGTCATACCTTATACGTGCTGTAAGTCAGTACCGTACGTTTACCATTCATTAAAAAACTGCTCTATAATCCATCATTAACCAGGGGGGAAAAACGTAGTAAATTAATAAGATTTAAATTAAAGTAATTATCAAATATTCAAGTAGAGTGAAGTCATTAAACCCGTGATATAGATATTTGACTAACACACGTTAGTAGACCCTAATTCCATTGTTTTCTTTTGTGTCTATTTGAGTATTACGCGTTAACTATTAATTTTTATTTCACGGGTTAACTGCCCTCACTCTAAACTTATGCCGCTAAAAGAGTGCTTAGGGTTGCAGAATAATTCTTAACACCTCCCTTAAAGTCATGCAAAAATATACGATCCCCCCTAAGCAAGGTTTGTAGCTTCTTCCAACAATTGTGCACCCCCCCCCCATTTTTCTGAAAAAAATTGGCCCATCCCCATTTTTCCTACCAAAATTTTCCCGATCCACCCTCAATTTCACCTGCATCTCCCCCCCCTCTGCCGTACATTATGAATGCAGCCTTACCCAATCCCAACACTTCAAAGCACGCAGTTGATCGCAACTGTGAACAGCAATCATCCGACACCCCCACACCCTCAGTATAAAACCTAAATGGCTGGACCTTCGACCCCACAGTCCCCACTTTCGGGGGGAGGGAGAGAGGGGTTTACTTTGTGTATTACTTCTTATAAGTACATTGGCGGTGGCTACCTCAGTAGAAACGCAGGCATGCATAGCGCCCTTTTTAGGTGTTCTTTATCCCTTTATCCTTTATTTCGATTATTTTTCAACTAGTCACCCAATTGAACCCCCCGGATCCGCCCTTTTGTGAATCTATGCGTACTAGATGCCTTGGCGATTTCAACGTTAACAAAAATCAAGCGGTCTGTTTTTATTTATTCAAGTGTGTTTATCTTCCCTCTCCCAACCTCCCTGGCCTTTGTGGCAACATGCCGAGTCGGAAGTCTACTTACTTGTCATGACTAAGTCAAAACAGCTTACCAAAGGTACTAGAGTGCACTTTAGTAGTACTAAATAGCACAATTTCATGCAAGTTCCATTTTCTATAGTGTTTAGTTAGCACTATTTTGTACTACAGTAAAAACCCGCGTATAAGAATCTAAACTTTAAGAACCTGTTAGGCTAAAATTTCATTTTTAAGCACCCTTCACATAAGAACCATTTTAGGCTAAAATCCTAAAACAGGTTCTTATTTTTAAAAAAGAAGGAAAAAAATAGAATCAATCTTTTCAAAAATATATTTATAACACAGTCCGTACACAATAATGCTATAAACACTATAACTGTACATGGTTACTGTAAAGAACATGTCCTCAATGAATAAAAACATCCAACTTAAAATGAAACTTTATTTCATTTCTTGAACAAAAGTTAAGAACCTAATTAAGAACCTGGTTAGCCTAATTTAACACTAAATACCATTTATATAAGAACCTGTTTAGGATAGCTTGAAAAAACCTAGGTTCTTATACGCGGGTTTTTACTTTATTTAGTAATTAGTGTTTCACGGATTAATTGTTTGCACTCTATCTGAAATAAAGAAAGCAGTGATTTAGTGAAATGTGACCTACGTCAGTGGTTTGTTAATAGTAGTTCATCGTAGATTCCAGTTCTTCTCGATCTGAACATGACTGATATGCGTCGACAACGTAGACAAGAAATGAAACATAGCACATGAAAAACGTTATCAAGTGTATTCAATGCAACGAAAAGTTTTTTTTCTTTATTTCTTTGACTGAAAAGTGTGATACACAGGAAGAAGAATGAGGTTTTTAGATGCGGTTTCGAGAATGTCGTGACCGGCCATATTCATTGTAAAGCGTTGCTTTCTGAACAATAGCTTTTATGACGCTGGTTTAAAATATCTGATGTATTTGTTGTTCATCCGAGCGAGAAAATGAAAATAAACCCTAGGAGTCCAAACAAAACGACGGAAAAAGAGCAGAGAAGAGAAGAAAAGAAAAAAGAAGGAAAGAGAAGGAAAAAAAGATGCAAAAGACGAAAGGAAAGAAAAAAACTAAAAATAAATTCAAAGGAAATGAAAAAGAATAAACAACCGAAAGAAATTAGAAAAAGGGTGAGAAAGAAAAAGTAAAACAAGAAGAAACGAAACTATATAAAAGAAAGTAGAAAGGAAAAAAAGAAAGAAAGAAAGAAATAATTGCTTGAGAATGCCAAAGCACATGCGTAGTAGATGAAGATGATCCCTTGATCCGTGAGGGACTGGTAATGAGATATTTTTGAGGTTGTCGATATGGATCGATGAAGTGGAAAAGTGGAGCAAGTTGTAGAAAATGAAGGCCATTTATTCCCCAACATTACAGCCAAAATTGCCAAATAACCTCCATATGGCTGCGTAATGAGTCTATCTACGACCCAAAATGTCTGGTGGTAAAAAAGAAGAGCGAGAAGAGAAGCTTTTGCAGGCTTCAAGACGCGGCGAGTTGGAGACTGTGTTGGTAAGTAAGCCGCCTTTTTCAAGGTTATGGTGCTCGATATTTTGTTTGAAATATCTCTAAATACGACATCATAAACACACACTCATAGCTCAGAGACATCTTAAACCCCTTGAGTAGAATTCTCAGTTTTATTCTTCGTATCGCGCTTACGAGTGTTTAAAATTCCAACCATCTTTATTACGTGTGCAGTTTTCAGCTGAAATCATGATCATATACGAATCAAGTGTTGAGAAAACTTTATTTATAAAATATTCCCAACTGTATTATCCATTTAATAAGTCCGTTCCTTTTTTCATAATTGAATAAGGAGTCTTAATTTGTATTGCGTTAAGATTTTCGACACGCTAGGATATTTGTTTTTCGTGATCTTCTGGGAAATTGTTTTACGTATTTTGAGCTTGTAAAGTAAGTCTTCACGAAAGTCATGTGATATTATAATATTAGCCTTATATTTAAGGGAGAATTATCTCACCTTTAGATTAGAATTACTCATAATTAAAGCCACCCAAGGGGATTTAAAAATCACAAGTACAGATTGAATAAGGTACTTCTAACCCAAATTTTATTACAAAACTTGAGACGATTTTTATAGACATCATTCCATCCCAAAATTACTGATAAGCTTAATTCATGTACGTACTATTAAAATTGTCTTTATCTGCCCTTGTTTGCGGCATTTGTACGCCGTGTTTTTTATCTTTATAACAAACCTACCAAAAAACCCGATATTAAAAAGAAATTAGAAATTTAATGAGATTTACTGATTTTCTTTTTTCTACATCGATTATTACATCATTGTACATTTTGCAGTTCAAATACAAAATATAGGCTTGAGCTTGTATCTATTATTAATATATTATTCATGTAATTGAGATGTATATTTGCATACTTCTGAGATGATTACACTTTGATTTCGAAACTAATTTTTGTTTTATGTCATTGTTGTGTTGTTCAATGGGAAAAACGTTTTATAGATTTAACTCTTGTGATTTTTAAATTATTGTGCTGTCACCCAAATTGAGTTGTTCTTGGAATTATAATGGAAGGGGTCTATAGCGATACTTTATTGTCATGTAAGCATTTGTTATTCATAGAGATCAATTGGCTGGTGACACAAAGCAACTTGCAATAATCTTTTATGAAAATATTTGTCTATTTTATATTACAATGGTTTTGCTATTAAACATGAAATGTTGTTATACCTCGGCAACATTGATACTAACCTCATTTTGTATTAAATGTTATTACAGTGTGACTACACCAACCAGGACACCCAGACAAATTTTCATACAAATTAGTAATTCATGATCGAGTATTTAAACAATAGAATCTGTACAAATTTACATATCTTTTAATCAAAAAGAATATGTTATACTTTATATGAGTGTGTGTTTGATCAGAAGTGAACAGAAAACAGTTTAAAATCCAGAATTGACCAATAATATTTAACAATTATTCGCCGAAGGGGAAGTGATTATCGGGGAATATTTACCGAGACGTGAGTCTTTGAGCGGTGAGGTAAATATTCCCCAATAATCACTGAGCCTGAGGCAAATAATTGTTTTAGTATAAATACACAGGTAATTCTTTCAAAAAAAAGGAAAAAAAAGAAGATAGCATTGTTTTCCGGTAACAGCAACAAAGTGGCTGGCCGCCATTTTGGATTTTCGCTCGAGGTGATTATCGTGTGATAGTGTGAGTTTCTTGACCAATCAGTGCGCGAGATTTTCTATAATCACCTGCGTGAGTGGCTGGCACAAAGTGGCTGGCCGCCATTTTGGATTTTCGCTCGAGGTGATTATCGTGTGATAGTGTGAGTTTCTTGACCAATCAGTGCGCGAGATTTTCTATAATCACCTGTGTATTTTTACTAATTTCATATATTATTCGGCATCAACAATTTGATTTGTGAATTTGATTTAAGATTTAATTGGTTGGCCTTGGTTGATATAGTCACACTGTAATGGTTCCATCAAAGATTATAAAAAGTGTAATTATATTTTTTTGCATATAATCGGGGACCATACTGAGACTTTCCCTCAGCCTAACCCAGAGAAAGAAAATTGTAAGCTCTGAAACGGTGTGAATCTAGAATTCTTAGATTTCACCAGTTTCGATCAGTGATTTCTAAACAAACACTGTACTTATTGACTGAGTTAGGTCGGGTCGTACGGGAAAATATTTGGCTCGAGGTAATGCTGTATGGACCGAGCTCAGCGATGTCCGTACGAATGACCAAGAGCCAAATATTTTCCTATACGGCCCAACCTAACTCGGTCAATAAGCATTTTAACCATCATATGACCCTAAATAAAAAAGATATTTTTATAATTGCAAATTATGTCAATACGGTTGCAGGTTTCGAGCAGGGCCGTACAGATTCGTATAGCCCTGCTCGCTCAAAGCCGTACCGCCCTGCTCACACCGTTTTCCCGAAGGTTTTCTTAAGAGCGCACGCCCAGGCAGATATGGGTCATATATATGATAACATAAATTTGGCAATTGTACCTGTACAGGTCTAAGCGGCCCACAGATATGTGGATATAGTATTTAATAATATATATGTTTAATTTTTTTATGCCACCAACTCATATTTGACTAATTTTTATTTTCAGAATTTATTAAAAAAGAAATCAGATGGCTCTGATGTTGATGTCAATTGTAAAGGTAAAAAAGTGTATTCCTTAGATTGATAGTCATCTTTTCACGTCATGCGCTACTTTGTCTTAATGGTTTCTCATGATGTTTGAGCCAGCTTAATTACAATTCTTCCATTAAGAAAATGTATGCAAAAATTGTATTCTAGATTTATTTTCTGGGGCTTCTCATCCTCCCTGTTTTGTGGCAAAGCAACAGAAATGCTAATATAAGCCCTTGAAAACACTAATGGCATGCACAATAATCAAACGTCCTTTTTTCATGAGGGTAGCACTTAATAGCCAGTGGCTATTAAGCACAGGAGAGAACCAACAAACAACTCTACTCATATACAACACTGAGCCTGGTGGGACTCAAACTTGGGTCGCATTGATGAGAGGCGAGCGCTCACACCGCTATGCCACCCGTGCTTCCCTTATCAATGATTTATATATTTTTATTTTTATTCCAATTGCGAACATGTTTTTATTTTTTGCTGGTCATATTTCACAAGCTTCATGACACCTCATGTCATTTCTACGTCACAATTTCAGATTAACTGGAAGAGCCCTGCTACAAAAAATCTTTCACTATAAGCCGAACCCTGATGTTTTTCTCCCTCTTCTTAATTATTTCCAGGCAAGTCGAAAGCAAACAATGGTTGGACGCCGGTATTACTTGCTGCATACTTTGGTCATAATGAAGTTGTAGAAGCCCTCATAAAGGTATGTCGTGATACACAATAAGGCTCATTTTTGATTTATTATGCTCTTCAATCTGCTGAATTTCATTGCTTAGTCAAATTGTGTAAATTAATTCAATTTTGTTGTATTTGTTGTATAATAATAGCCATTATCATATTTTTCTATATCTTATTGTTATTCTTCAAACCAATTTGTTTTAATTGTTTTCTTTCCTGTGTTTTTAGAAAATAATCTTTTCTTTATTAATAAAATATAATCCATGGTTATAATAAATGCATCTAATTTAAAACTGTTTTCTAAAAAAAAGTAGTTTCCTGATACTATTTTTTTCTTGCTAATTCTAATATATTATGTTTTTATGTCAAAGCTAATCTTAATGTAGAAATTAAATTTGTTCTTTGAAAAACTAATTACTCAATGGTTTTTTTCCCATATTCTTCTGGTAAAAGAATAATTCCCACTGGGTAATAATTAGCAATATATCTTCTCATTTGTCATATCATTTATCAGAGTGAATTGGAAAAAAATCAGTTGTCTGGGTTATCAAAGACTGTGAAAAAAGGCTGTAAAAAATAAATTGCCAATATACACAATCCTCTAGGGTATATATGTAAGTTTTAATCTCATTTCATATCATGTTATCCCTTGAGTATTATGCTTTTTTGTTTATCAATTAAAAGCTTCATAAGCTTCAGTAGATGATAAAATGATATCAATTATTGTTATTGCCAAAGAAATGAGATGTGGTTTGAATATTCCAATTTCAAGTTTCTTTGCTTAGCCATAGTTGGTTGTATCTTATGATATTCAGATATTCTACCAAATCCTTCTGGCATTTTAATCAACTCGTATTGTTCCGTAGTATGTACAGTTATCATACTATACAATGGAATTTAATGAAAGAAAAGGACACATTTAATTTGTACACAATTGAGGCTAAGACAGATAAAATTGGAATTTAATTAGTGTGTTCGGTCTTTGCAGAGGGATGAAAGATATACTGTCAGTATATAAACATTCATGTTTTGGTTTCACAGGCAGGGGCAGATATAACAGTACGAAATGGAATGGGTAACACAGCCTTGCACTTAGCGTCATTCACTGGCCGGACAGTAAGTGTTGTCCCGATGTCTTGGTTGAATCTATGAGCCATTCCGAAGTCCAGGAAAAATACTGGGATGAGTTGGTATTGAAGTACACTGTGTGACTGTTTTAGGGGACCATTCTTTTAAGATGGCATCTATTTCAGCCTCAATGCCAACTCGTACCTACACATAGCCTGGCTGTGTATAAAATGAATGAAGGAATAATGTGTAGTTCCAGCAATTATCCATATACCTCCGACCCCTGGAAATTCCAATTTTCATCCATTACGAACTGTAATTTTGTTCTTTCTCTACTAACCCCCCTATCCTTTGGAAATTCCAAATTCCTCTGAGGGGAGGGGGTGGATGGACATTTTCTGGAACTACACAATAAACAAAAAGTAATAATAAATAGTAATAGTAATAATAATGGAAGAATGATGAATAAATAGTAATGACTGAATAATGACTGAATGAAAGAAAAATCAATTAATGAGGCAATAAAGAATATATGAATGAATAAATTAGTGGAAGTATAAGTGGATGGTAATATTGTTCCAATTATTTATTAATTAAAAAAAGATATCTATGGAAGAATAAATATTAAGTAATAAATATTAATCAATATTTTTTATTCCTTATCAGTATCAATTTAAAAAAAATTATAAGATTATTACATAGTTTTATTAATAATAAGATAATAAATGTCAATTAATATTTCTATTCTGTGTTTTCAGTCTGTAGTTCTTCTCCTGTTACAAAATAATGCCGATGTTACTGTAGTAAATGGAGAGGGAAAAACGCCAAGTCAAGTAGCCAATAAAGATGAAGTGAGGCAGCTCATCCAAGGTACTAAATGTTTGTGGTAAAAATTATATTGCATTTAGTAAATACTCTTACAAAACTGTACTGAGTAATTATGTACTTTGACAACCTGGCAATTGTGTTGGGCAACAACTCGATTTTACAGTTTCGTTCGAGTGACCACGAATAATAGTTGCAAGTCAAGGTTGCAGTTACCGCACATAGCAAAACTATATTTTTTATCATGTTTTATCATGTGCGGAAACTCCAGCCTCGGCTTGGAACGAAACTGTAAAATGGAGTATACGGCACGGATGTGGTGAGACAGCTCATGATCCAAGGCACTAAATGTTTGTGGTAAACATTATATTACATAGAGTAAATTTACTCTTACAAAATTGCACTGCCTAATAATGTACTATTTTGACAACCTGATGTGTTGGGCAACAAGCACCCACACAGGCCTGCGCAACACTTGACAAACACTTGGCTGACATATAAACAGCACGCTCATCAACTTTCATCCACTGTCATTGCTATCATCGCTGGGCTTAAGAAATTTGGTTTGATCAGATATGTGTTCCAGTTTTGAAATCTCTTTTGTTCTGGGCTGTAGCCTTGATTTTTTGTAGAAATATATTCACATATTTTTGAAATTTAATAAATCTGCATAATTTTTCTATTAATAATATATTAATATTTGTTTCATAGCCGCAGAAAAGAGTATGAAATTAGATTTGGAAAAGCAACTTCTAACAGCTGCTAAAGAAGGAAATACAGCTGAGTTAAAAAAGCTGGTAAGATTACCAATATACATGTAGATTTGAAGGAAAAAAAACACAGATTCTAAAGACCTTTTAATAAATCCCACAATGCTCTATTTTCCGCTTTTCAAGTCAAATTTATTATTTTCAATTTCATTTATTATTTTCGAGTCCAGGAATCGAACCCGAGACCCCATAGGTGAGAATCAAATGCATAACAACTCTGTATATGCTGCCCTTGACTCCCAAATGTGCAAGAGAATGAAATGGTTTAAGATTGCCATTCCTCATTACATGATCCTGTTGTGTCATTTATAGGTTAGCTCACCTGATCCTCCTGATATCAACTGCAAGGATATCTTGGGAAACACTCCTCTTCACTGTGCAGCATATAGGTAGGTGGCTTGTAATTGTCCCTTCTTCATGACTATTATTTTGTTATATAGTTAGGATACATGTAGGATACACATACCTGCATGCTGATTGGTCAAAAACTGTGCTTTATTAGTGAATGGAGCACAGTGCTGGCGCCATCTGCTCGTGCCAAGAGCTGCTAGATTTTGCAACCGTTTTTCTTTTTGCGTAAATAAATTCAATACCGAAATAAAATTAGTGATTTAATGATAAAACAAACAAAACAACTTTTTTCCATGCTCCATTCAGTTATAAAGCATGCAGGAAGTGGCGTAAGCATGAAAGAAGTGTAAAGAGGAGATTCTTTTCGCCTAAGGCTTGTGCTTCTCCTTACACAAGTTTCTTTCATTCTTACGCCACTTTCTGCTTGCTCATTACTGAACAGAGCACGGAAAAAGCTGTTTTATTTGTTAAGTACGATGTTACCATACCCAAAGCTTTTAGTAGTATTGGTAGGTGGTTTGTAATTGTCTCTTCTTCATATTACTATGCAATGTTACCATACCCAGATTTGTTAGCGACGCTTATCCAAACATTTTCCCACACAAAATTAATCAATTTGACACTGGTTTTATTCAGCCGGCCACAGGGACTCTGTCTTGGCCATTAGCCAAGAAGTTCCAATGAGATTTACCCTGGAAACTTGTTTTTTTAATAATTAACTTGTCGTTACRATGGAGAGTAGGTGCCTGGCAAAGCGGTAGGCGATGGCAACTAGCTGGCAAGAGGTAACCATGGCAACCAAGCCACGGGTCAACCTCGGCACCTGTCACACTGCTTACACAGTGGAAGTAAACTACTTACCTTGTCCAACCAGAGGAGGGTGGGCGGGGCAAAACCGCGATATGAGGGCAATGGCTAACAGCAACTCAGTTAACTTTGCTTAAATTTAACCACATTAGTCTTCAAAACTCGGAATGTGTAGTTCCAGAAATTATCTAAGGGGTAGGGGGGTCAGAGAAAGAACAAAATTACAGGGTTTGTATGGAAGAAAATTGGAATTTCTGGGGGTAGGGGGAGATGTCCTAAGAAAATCCCTCTGTGTGGGGAGGGGGTATGGAGGATTTGGATAATTTCTGGAACTACGCCATAAAGGTTTGCCATTGTCTAATTTGCCATAATATTAGTACTTTTTTATGATTTCTTCACATTTTCTTCATATACAGTGGTCATAAAGAAATAGCGGTAATGTTACTTCAGCATGGAGCTAACACTTCTATGAGGAATAAGTCAGGTGACTGACATTTAATAAATTATTGATACAATATATAGTTAGTGGAGAAACAAAGAATGTTGTGCATGATTTTGTTGTCTTTGTTCATACACGATTCACATATATTGTTCCTTGCTAGCAGAGCCTATTTACCTTTTGTTTTGGTAGAGTGAGAAAAATAGACTGTGCCGATGTAGGACGTTATGCTTGTCGTACCAGTGCGTGGCATAACTTAGCAATGCTGTCATGATTTCGACAGCCGCTCTCAAACAACTACATGTACAATTTACCCGGTTAAAAAAAACGGTTTTAAAACTGTTTTCGTTCATCCCCAATTGTGGATGGCAGTGTGTCAAAGTAAACGTTTTACATCAGCAGAGTCTCCCTCCTCCCCACGTTAACGAAGGGAGAGAAAGAGGAGAGACTCTGCTAGCAAGGAACATATATATGGTATCTGCAGGGCTTGAACCAGTGACTGAAACTACAGTGGTGAAAGATGATGCATTAGCAGTGTACACCACCCATGTTACCCTTTTATTTTCCCATATAATTATTTCTCCATAATTAATTATTTAAATGATTTGTTATGTGACAGGTCAAACACCTTTAGAACTAACAAAAGACTTAAAGATGAAGAAACTACTGGATGTTCAGCCACTTCAGGTAATCTGTGCTCAGACGACATTTCATATATGCTTTTCATGTCTTAATGTGTTCTGTAAAGGAGAATATATAATCTAAGAGGGCTTAAAGTAACACCCAGTATGTCGCCAATCATAATGGCCGGCCTAATTAGTTTTAGTTTGGTAATACCTTGTTTCTGGGTCAATGTTAATGGTCAAAATGACACCAGCAAAGCAAAGATTTAACTGGACATTGTCTGATGTCCGGCAGTTATTTTAAGCCCTTGCCTAACTATTATGTTACTAGTCTAGCATGCGGCATGATTGTCTTCATTTTTTACAGGCTGCACATGCATATAACACCATTCTAACGTCATAACACTAATTAATTGCTGATAATGAATTAATGACAATCTAATGAAAGATTCTTTGTTAATACTAATTCTCTACTAACTATGGATGAGGATTTGCTAATGTCTTTGTAAATAACTTGTTTTTATGCTGATAAAGGACTATTATGTCCAAAATGCCAGTATATTCTGAAATAATTCATGCAGCATTTTTAGGTTACATAAAAGTTAATTCTGCTAAATTTTGATTTAAAAATTGCTCTTAATTGCAAGCAAATTAATTTAAAAGTGAAATTGTTTTAAAACTGTTAAAACTGATTTTAACGTTATTCCAATTTATTTCATGAATGAATTGAATGAATATTATGAGATAATTAGGATAGTACATGCGCTACGATTGGTTGAAAACCATGTTTGATGAGAATATCAAAACATGCTCACGTTTTTTGATACTCTGATCAAAACAAGCGGGATGTTGAGAGAACACATGAGAAGCTGGAAACCACTCCGGTAAGCATCATGGTTTCCTATGCTCCTCTCGTGTTCTATCAACATGCCGCATGTTTTGATCAGAGTATCAAACACGGAAAACTGTTTTTGATCTGTTAATCAATATATAATAATGTATTTGTACTTTTCTTTAACTCAGTGCATCACTATTGGTGTACAAATATTTGATACAATTATAAACTGTTGTTGTTGTTGTAAATGTTGTAAAATGTTACAAATCATTTTTATTTTTATTGAACAGTTAATGGAACAGCTTGTGTTTTTTCTGTCACTATTTGATAGGTAGCAAAGATTAACAATTCCTTTCAAAAATCACCGCTTTTGAAAAGAAAGGTAAATCTGACAGGATGGTAATAGAAAGAATGTGACCCCAAATAGTTTTGGTAGGATGTTGGACGACAGTATACCATTTTTTTACCTACAAACTACTGTTTTCCTACTAGCATCCTACATCTAACCTTACAACACTCAGTCTACCACTAATCTATCAAGACTCCACTAACAACCTAAACAAACATCCTACAGATAAAGTGCCGACGACCTACCAACACTAATTTTGGAGTAGCTTCACATTAGTTATAATTTTTCAAACTGGATACTTGGAATTGTTCCAAAAATCCTGTGATATTATTAGTATTTTACAGTTCCATTTTGTGACCACCAATGATATTTCCAAGTCAAAGTTGGGAGTAAGCCATGCATGATAAACTATAGTTTCTATGCAAGGCAACTCCAACCTCGGCATGGAATGTACTCTTATTTGTCATTACTGAAAAGTCCACTGTAAAAAGGAGCATTATTATTTTTGGCATTTTGAGTTTTTTTTCTTTAATTTTGATTTAATTTTTCAGTTATATATTCTTCCTCACTTCAGTTTCTATTGCTAATATATTTCTATATCCTCATCCATTATAATACCACATTTCTACACGTAACATCCATACTATTGCTAATATATTACTATATCTTCATCCATTATTAATACCATATTTCTGCGCATTCTCTCCCTCTTGTAATACACCTACATGTAACATCCATACTATTGCTAATATATTACTATATC